AAGGCTTGGTTCATTTCTCCCCCTGCCCCCACCCCCTCCCTTACCACCCACTCCACCCCTCCCTCCCCCCCTCAATACCCAGCAGAAACTATTTTGCCCTTATTCTAATTTTGTTGTAGAGAGAGTATAAGCAATAATAGGAAGGAACAAGGGTTTTTGCTGGTTGAGATAAGGATAGCTATACAGGGCATTGACTCACATTGATTTCCTGTGCGTGGTGTTACCTTCTAGGTTAATTCTTTTTGATCTAACCTTTTCTCTAGTTCCTGTCCCCTTTTCCTATTGGCCTCAGTTGCTTTAAGGTATCTGCTTTAGTTTCTCTGTTAAGGGCAACAAATGCTAGCTAGTTTTTTAGGTGTCTTACCTATCCTCACCCCTCCCTTGTGTGCTCTCGCTTTTATCATGTGCTCAAGTCCAATCCCCTTGTTGTGTTTGCCCTTGATCTAATGTCCACATATGAGGGAGAACATACGATTTTTGGTCTTTTGGGCCAGGCTAACCTCACTCAGAATGATGTTCTCCAATTCCATCCATTTACCAGTGAATGATAACATTTCGTTCTTCTTCATGGCTGCATAAAATTCCATTGTGTATAGATACCACATTTTCTTAATCCATTCGTCAGTGGTGGGGCATCTTGGCTGTTTCCATAACTTGGCTATTGTGAATAGTGCCGCAATAAACATGGTGTGCAGGTGCCTCTGGAGTAACAGTCTTTTGGGTATATCCCCAAGAGTGGTATTGCTGGATCAAATGGTAGATCGTGTCAGCTTTTTAAGTAGCCTCCAAATTTTTTTCCAGAGTGGTTGTACTAGTCTACATTCCCACCAACAGTGTAAGAGGGTTCCTTTTTCCCCGCATCCTCGCCAACACCTGTTGTTGGTGGTGTTGCTGATGATGGCTATTCTAACAGGGGTGAGGTGGAATCTTAGTGTGGTTTTAATTTGCATTTCCTTTATTGCTAGAGATGGTGAGCATTTTTTCATGTGTTTTCTGGCCATTTGAATTTCTTCTTTTGAGAAAGTTCTGTTTAGTTCACTTGCCCATTTCTTTATTGGTTCATTAGTTTTGGAGAATTTAGTTTTTTAAGTTCCCTGTATATTCTGGTTATCAGTCCTTTGTCTGATGTATAGTTGGCAAATATTTTCTCCCACTCTGTGGGTGTTCTCTTCAGTTTAGAGACCATTTCTTTTGATGAACAGAAGCTTTTTAGTTTTATGAGGTCCCATTTATCTATGCTATCTCTTAGTTGCTGTGCTGCTGGGGTTTCATTGAGAAAGTTCTTACCTATACCTACTAACTCCAGAGTATTTCCTACTCTTTCCTGTATCAACTTTAGAGTTTGTGGTCTGATATTAAGATCCTTGATCCATTTTGAGTTAATCTTGGTATAGGGTGATATACATGGATCTAGTTTCAGTTTTTTGCAGACTGCTAACCAGTTTTCCCAGCAGTTTTTGTTGAAGAGGCTGCTATTTCTCCATCGTATATTTTTAGCTCCTTTGTCAAAGATAAGTTGCTTATAGTTGTGTGGCTTCATATCTGGATCCTCTATTCTGTTCCACTGGTCTTCATGTCTGTTTTTGTGCCAGTACCATGCTGTTTTTATTGTTATTGCTTTGTTAATATCAGTTTGTGTGGGACAGTTCTTAAGCCTAAGACATAGCCTTTAAAGTGTCAGTCCCCCTTCCTCTGGGGTAACTCTGAAAGAAGGATGTGTCCAGATGTCATCTTTGTTTATCACTTGGGGAAGAGCGATGAGAATGAAAAGGTTCCACTGGTCTATGAGAACAGTGTTTGGACAAGTAGCAGCAGAGAGAAGCAAGCATCCTGCTCTATTTATGGGCAGCACCACATGGCAAACCGAGAGGAACTCATGAAAATCAAGGTTGTCCAAACCATCACATAGAAAAATTTGGGGCTAGTGCTGAGAGCAGAATGGAGCAAGGGAAGATGTGGTAAAGGAACTAGATAAAGTGGAACTTGTTAAAGAGCATTCATTTTGGATATCTGGTTATTTCTGAGTTTGAACCCTGTTTCTCCAGATAACAGCTGATGTATGGGGATATAAAAAGCTATAAAATGATAGAGTCACAATAGGGCAAAGATATCTTAGAGGTAGAGATAAGGAATCTATAGAGGCTGGGATGGCATGGTTATATCCGAGGACCACATGCCAGTGTGATATTTATTCTAAGGGCTCCAGGAATAGTTTTTAGGACAAGGGAGTGATTCAACTTGGCTTGGTGGCTACCAGATTAACTGAGCTGTGAATAATCTTCCAGTGGGTGTGGGATGATGAAGTCCACACTGGTCAAAGCTTGGCAAGTGGAATTGCCAAGATTGGGAAATTGTGATTTTATAAGCTGTGTCAAGTGTTTTTCTATTGCATTTTAATTATAATAGTGGATATACAGTTGCCCCTCAGGAACCAAACTTTCAATAATGGGGATGGGAATCTTAAATTGTCAAGTATTAATTAGCAATAGTGACAAAGCAGTTATCATTTTTGTAACATTGGTAAAATTCTGTGGTCTGGTTTATCCTGTACAGGAAGGCCCTGTAGACACAAACTCTCTGCTTTAAGTGATGAATAGATAATATTTGGGGGAAGAAACGAGTGCCTATATTAGTAGGTTTTCTGTGAAGAGAGAGAGAAAGGGAGACAATGAAGGACATGACGAGGCCTGCTTGTGCACTAACTGTCCGCCAGCAATTCAGTATGTATCCCTTTGCTTTTTGAAAACACTTGTCTTTTGTGGGGATTCGGAAATGCTTTTCTTTGTCACCAAATCAAAGCCACTATTTTTAAAGCTCAATTTTTGTCCAAGATGAGTGTCTTCTGTTGAGTTTTCCTAACAAACACTCAGTATCCCACTCACATCCAAAAGCATAGAGGCCAACTTAAGGAGAGGGCCATCATTTCACTGTCTTGTGGCTTATAAAATTGAAGTGTCTCTCTTGGACTCAGATTTGAGTGTGAGTTTCTCAAGGGAAAAAAGAAAACTTTGGTTCTCCTGATTCTTCTGCTTTTGAGTGCCCGAATGGAGTGTGTAATAGCTGCTCACTAAACTATGTTGAGTGAGCGAATAGGTCCATGGGTTAGAACTCTGATTCGTGGGATCTCTTTTTCTCACTGTGAGGACCTCCTCTTTGGCTTCTAATAATTAAGTGGCTTTGTTTGTTTATTTTGTGTTTCCCTAAGGGTTTCCTTGGTGTGCCACGCCTAGGCACTTTATTGGCTGACCTCTGCTCTCTTTTCTCTTCACTAAGAATTCCAAGAACTCTATTATTCCTTCAAATATAGTCTTGTCAGAATGGCAGGGTTATGCAATCCTGGCACCCCATTTTCGCAAGGTTCTACAAAGTGCCCCAGGGCAATGAAAACTTGCAAAGGCTGTCCCTCAGGCAGGCATAGCTCTTCCCAGCAGCTGGCTGACCTCTGCGTCCACAGCATTCATATTGTTTCCTGCCTCTGCTGACTCCTGTTCAGTGAATTTCAAACTTATCTTAAAATGGGGTCAACGCTGTGCTTCTACTTTAGCAAATGTCTCAAATGTTTACAGTTGGTAGTCTGGTCATGTTAGGTATAAAACTCTTACTGTATGGGATTTGAATTCCAAATTCTTTTTCAATTCATTGGACATTGAAGTTATCCATAGTTTATTTTTTTTCCCTCTGCCTGCTCTAACTCAGTCTCAAACATCCAATGTTTCATACATTAAGAATCCAACTGTAGCTGAGCTCTCCTAAACATTCACAGCTTTTTTTGCAAGTCCAAACTAAATATTCTCCTTAGTTTTACATGCAGGGACCTTATTTCAACCTCGAGAGCACCTAGATTTCACAACTCAGGCCAAAACATGCACTACATTGAGGCCTATAACTTCCATATGTTTTGGTGTAGGCATGTGTAGAGTTTCAAAATTTGATTATGCCTGTTTATATTTCCAGCAAAAGTTCTCATCTTCTCTTTTTTCCCTAAAATTCTCATTTTTCACACTCTGATTATCTCATTGAGGAAACCTCTATATCTCTGCCCCTTGATCTCACTAATTTAAATACTTCTCTAAGCTTTCCTCTCTCTTTTTCCCCCCCTGGGGAAAAAAAACAAAAAAAAAAATTTTTTCTTTTCCCCCCCCCATGGAGTAATTGAAGTTTGCCCCCATCTTCCCTGAGGCTTTCTTCATTTTTTCCCTTTGTACTTTTATTTCTTTTTGAGGTGGTGGGCATGGAATCCAGGGCTTCACACATGGTAGGCAAGTAGTCCACCACTGAGCTCCGTCACCAGCCCCTCCAAATTTTATTCTGCTCCTCCTTTGCTTAATTTCTGTCTCCTTGCCTCCTGATTCCCTCTTTCTTATTTAGGACTCTACAAACAGCTTATCAAAATAAGTCTCATATTACAGACTAGAAATTTCCAGATTTTTATCAATATCCTCTCAGGTTTCACAGGAAAAGACAGTCTTTCCAAGTGGAGTTGCAGGGCATAAAACTAACAGCCTGCATTCTCTCTGCTCCATTACAACATCAAACCCTCTGTAGCCTTCCAGGCATGAAGGAGAATAAGATATGCTATTTTTTTCCTGCTGCATAGCTAAGGATTTGCCCTCACAGTTGGGTTGTGCTGGCCAAGGAACTGAGGACACTGGAAAATGACCATATTGGCATCTTGATTGAAGGACAGAGCAAAATGACAGTGAGCATCCTTAGTGAAGAAGCTTTATTTTTGAAAGATCAGGCACAGGGACTTGTGCAGAATATGTGCAATAGACTTAGTCAGGGTAGGGGTAGGAGACCATGAGATCCTGGACTTCAGACAGGGAGATTTTGGAACTCTGGAGAGGGACACCCCAGTCCAGTCTGTGAAAGTCAGAGCAGGGGTCTGAGAAAGGATGCATCAAGATGGGATTTTCTGACCCTTGGGAAATCTTCTTCCTCTTGAAACAGTTTATCTTAGCCATCAGCTGAGAAGGTAAGATGAGGTAGTTTGGTCAGAATCAGTAGCAGTTCCCAGAGCTGTGGCCACAACCAGATTGCTGACTACTGCCATGGTCACAGGAGCTGGAGCTCCGACGCCGGCATCGGTGGGACCTGTGGTGCCTGTGGCCCAGACAGCAGCCGCCCTCTGAACTGGGGTCACTGCAGCCACTAGAGCTGGTAGCACAGCAGGAAGAGGCTGCAGGCTGACACTGTTTTGGGCTTTTTGGAGGGCACTTGGGTAAGGGGCACTTGGGAGGGGCCTGGCACTGCTGCTGGTTCTGCTGGCAGGACATTTTGGCAGAAATCAGTGAGCCTGGAGAGATAAAAGCAAACAGGTCAGTGCAAAAGCTTTAGGCCAGTGTCTTCTCTGGGAATGGTTCTACAAAACCCTTGCTCCTAAGACCAACTGCTTCCTGAGTTCTGATCTTCAGAAAGGAAAATGGAAACTGATCTTCAATTAAATTGACCTGAAAGACATTTCCTTCCCTCTTGCTTTGCTTTCTGAAGAGTACTGACACTTCTAACTGGGTCCCAAGTCCTCTGTCTTCATGAAACCTTGAAGCAAACACACTCCATTGGATAATGACTCCTGGATAACTATCTGGGCAGGTGCACAGCTCTCAGGAGGGAATGTTGAAAGCGCAGTACTCTAGTTGTAATTCAACAGGCCTGACACTTCTCACGGATTCCTTGTCTTTGTTACGCGCCTTCTGCCCAGATGCCCTGCAAGCTCCTTTTTTCTGTTGCTTCCACATCAAACACCTCTGATTCCCTTTCCCCTCTGATGTTTGAACTTGTGTTCACCACCCACTCCCAGTTGGGGATCTGTCCTCTGATGCCCACTCACCTGATTCAGGAGAGACAAGAGAAGGAGAGGAGGCTGTGCCTGAGGAGGCTGTGGATGAAGAGCTCAGGTAGGAGCCCTTTTATTCTACACAGGGCTCATGATGCACAGCCTGAGCATGCGGTTCCATCAAACAGGGAGGTGACAGCTGGGACATAGCCAGGACGCATCCATCAATATCTTCCTCACTCTGATGTCTGACAAGAGGGAACTAGGAAGCTGTGATGCCTGTCTGCTTTCACTTTACTCATCCTGCTGGGGATTCCCAATCTACCTCCCTTATAGTATTTACTCAGATCACATTCCTCAACACAGGCTCTACGCCATGGGCTTTGTTGTGAAGAAGTCATTTGTACCCATGACATGTTTCTCTTCTTAGGTAGCTCACATTATGTCAGGAAAGAGAAGGAAATGTTAATCTACCAATCTTTATTTATTTTTTCTTTTATGATTCATATGTGCATACAAGGCTTGGTTCATTTCTCCCCCCTGCCCCCACCCCCTCCCTTACCCCCCACTCCGCCCCCTCCCTCCCCTCCCCAACCCCTCAATACCCAGCAGAAACTATTTTGCCCTTATTTCTAATTTTGTTGTAGAGAGAGTATAAGCAATAATAGGAAGGAACAAGGGTTTTTGCTGGTTGAGATAAGGATAGCTATACAGGGCATTGACTCACATTGATTTCCTGTGCGTGGGTGTTACCTTCTAGGTTAATTCTTTTTGATCTAACCTTTTCTCTAGTTCCTGGTCCCCTTTTCCTATTGGCCTCAGTTGCTTTTAAGGTATCTGCTTTAGTTTCTCTGCGTTAAGGGCAACAAATGCTAGCTAATTTTTTAGGTGTCTTACCTATCCTCACCCCTCCCTTGTGTGCTCTCGCTTTTATCATGTGCTCAAAGTCCAATCCCCTTGTTGTGTTTGCCCTTGATCTAATGTCCACATATGAGGGAGAACATACGATTTTTGGTCTTTTGGGCCAGGCTACTCTCACTCAGAATGATGTTCTCCAATTCCATCCATTTACCAGGAATGATAACATTTCGTTCTTCTTCATGGCTGCATAAAATTCCATTGTGTATAGATACCACATTTTCTTAATCCATTCGTCAGTGGTGGGGCATCTTGGCTGTTTCCATAACTTGGCTATTGTGAATAGTGCCGCAATAAACATGGGTGTGCAGGTGCCTCTGGAGTAACCTGTGTCACAGTCTTTTGGGTATATCCCCAAGAGTGTATTGCTGGATAAATTCTACCAAATCTTTAATACCAGAGTAGAATATCAGCGGCTAAATGCTTTTACTTACAACTTGTGTATATAAATGACCCGCAGGCAGGGTAATGGTTTGGATGTTAGCCCTCTTCATCTGCGGTGCAACCAAAAGAACCCGGCCCATCCTGTATGTGACCAGTGGGACTGTCTTCTTGACTCTGGGATGGGAAAAGTGGGGTTCAAAAAGAAACAAGGGCTGGGGCATGGGCCCCCCCCCCCCTAAAAAAAGGTTGTGGAGTATTTGCCTAGAAGCACAAGGCCCTGCGTTCACAATCCAGTATGCACAAAAAAAACAAAAAGGACAGAAAGAAAACTGAAGGAATAGAGCTAAGACTCTGTGTAGGTGATGCACGAAGCCCTTAAGAAGTTCTTATGGAACAGAAATCCAATCATGGTGTTCTGGGGATGAAAGGGAAGGTAGCGTTGAGTTCATTTTTGATAAATACGAACAATTTTTAAGAGAGCCAGCAATAATGAAGGTTTGTGTATACAATAAGCTGGATACATACTTGGCACCCAGAATCCAATCATGGTGTTCCTGGGGAAGAGGAAGGTAGAGTTGAGTTCATTTTTGATAAATAGAACAATTTAAGAGAGCCAGCAATATATGAGGTTTGTGTATACATAAAGCCTGGATCACATACTTAAAAGGCGTCAGGCTTTTCAACATTGGAAATTAACTTATATTTCCAGAGAAAAATACAATTAAAAAAACCCAAAATTTAACAATCCTATCTAAAATACAATATTTTCTATTAATTTTTATTATTTCTTTTGGCCTTGGTAAATGTTCATGGCTTATTTATAACTGGCTAAAATACAGTTTATAAAGAAATGTTCATGGTTATAAGAATATTTATAAGAACCACATTAACTTAACTGGAATGCTTTTATGGTGTGTATTCTAGGTACATTAAAGCCTATATGATTGGTTATTAGTTTTAGAGAAAAAAAATTTTATAAGGGGACTATTTTTCTCTCCTGTTCTCTTCACTTTTCAAGCCCTATTTTTTGAAACAAAGAGACTTTGTTAGTTTTATCTTCAGATGTTTGGGTTGATGAAATCCCCTTGGTTTGAGAGAATGGTGACTCAACATGTGGGGAGGTGGTAGGAAGGCATTTACCCCTGAGTTTCCTTTCAGACTCATTGGCCATTTTGCTAATATTATTTGATGCCTAACCAACAGGACACTGTTCAGAAGAAGGAAATCACAAGGAAGGATAATGGAGATGACATTCTGCCCCCACTGCACAGTAAGACTATAGATAAATACAGAAATGGTGGAAACCCTTTCTGATCACTGGTTCCCTTTTTGTGATCCCTTGTTCGCAAGTTTGCCTATGTGCCAGGCCTGGAAAAATGCCAGGATAGGGGAAGGGCATAGCCTATTGGAGCAGCCACTTTCATGAAACTTTGGGCCTCATGGAAAGTGCATATGGTTTCTGGTCTAATATCCTGGCATGAAAAACTACCCACTGTCTATATCTCATAAACTTAGTATTTGGCCTGAAACCATGTTGTAAATTGAATATTTATTTTTCTCCAAAATCATATGTGAAACTCTATACCTCCCAATGTCATGGTGTCACAAGGCTGGGCCTTAGAGGAGTGATTAGGCCAGGAGAGTGGAGCCCTCATGAATGAGGATTAATGCCATTACAGAAGAGACCTCAAGAGCTTTCTAGGCCTCTTTTTGTCATGTGAGGACACAAGAAGAAGTTGGTAGGAATAGGATCTGGAAACAGGCCTGCACTAGAACCTGACCAATGGACAAACAACTTATAGAATTGTGAGATACAAATTTCCATAGTTTTTAAGCCACCTACTTATGGAATTCTGTTATAACAGATCAAATAAGCTAAGGAAAGCTTCCTAACTCTCATCCATGCACACCCTCTTGGAATTTCTTCTTGCTTAAGTCATTCATATCTACACATCTCAATTCAAAAAGGTTTTGTGGAACATGGACTAGACACCATGTATGGCACTGGAAATATGATTGGGAACAAGGGACAGCTTACAGCCCAACACTGAGTTCAAACACTGAGAGATGAAGTACAATTGTTTCCAGAGTGAGGGCTCTAAGTTCTGTAAGTATTGTGTAAAAAAGACTGGAAATTCAGACCCACTACAGAAGTGAACACTTATATTGTGATTCTTTAGAAGCAAGTACAGGTACCAGTTTTGGCAAAGTAGATGAAATCTTGAGTCAGTTGGTGACAATAATTGAAAAGTAACCCCAATTACACCTGTGCAAGGTTCAAGTCAACCATTTAGGAACTGTCAGTGTGGAGTCTCCTCTGTTCCTCAGGAAACACAAGTCATCTTCTGTTGTGTTGCCTTTGCTCCATCCCTAACTGCTTGCCTTAAATGATTCAATCCTGTGGTTTCTAGTCTTTAATCCTGGAGAAGGATCTGTCCTTCTCTGGGTATGCAAGGATATGAGGGTAGCACCACAGGGTCACTACTGTGAAGAGTTCCATCTCAAGGAGGACAGGGATCCTATGATCCAGAGACAGCAGAGGAAATACAGAGACTGATGTGAAAGGATGACCTTAGGAGGAGTTCTTGACTTACTAATTTTCACTGGTGTATGGAGATAGGCATGTAGCTTTTCAGGTTTACCATGATGGGGACGTTTTGATTAGTTCATGTAACATACAAGCCAATGGTGACTCTTCCTTTCCAACTGATCAGAGTTAATTGTCAATTCAAGATCCTTGTCACCAAAGCAAGGTCTTCTTGGTGACACATAACTGAGTCATCCTTAGGTAGATGGGAAGAAAGAGATGAACAATTTTATCTTTTCATTATTGAGATTTAATTACATACCACAAAACCCACTTTTTAAAAATGTGTAAATTTGTGGGGTTTAGGATATTAAAAAATTATGCAAACATCACTATCAATTCCAGAACGTTTTTATCACTCCCAGAAGGAACTCTGTACTTAGCAGTCACTCCCCATTCCTCATTCCCATTTTCCCCTGAAACCACTAACCTACTTTTTACCTCTTATGAATTTGACGATTTTGGACACTAATTTTAAATAGATGATTCAGTATGAGACCTTTTGTCTTCTTTCACTTAACATATTATTTTCAAGATTTATTCATTAATAGTATATCTCAACATTTCATTACTTTTCATGGCTGAATAATGGGTATTAGGTCATTTCTCATTTTTAGGTCTTAATAAGAGTGTAGCTATGAAGTCACTATTATTTCCTTCTTATTGCTGTAGGCAGTAAGAAGACTCTTTGTCCAGTGTCTTAATATAAGTTATGTTATTGATTTGATATTTGGTTCCTTTAATTAAAAAAGGAGCCTGTAGCTATCTATTTTTCTCTAAGTACTCTTTTGACATGTTGATTTTTCATTTTCTCTAGTCTCAAGCATTGTTAAAGTTTCCCTCACATTTCTTCTTTGACTTACTGGTTGCTTAAGAGTGTGCTGTTTAACATACAATGTTTGTAATTTTCTGGTTTTCTTCTTTTTAATTTGTAGTTACATTCCACTGTTTTGTTAGAGAAAGAAACTTTTTATGATTTCAAACTTTTAAAATTCAATCCTGCTTCTTGTATGGCTTAATTGTCTTTGCCTCAGAATGTTCATCTGAGAGAAACGAGTTTCTTGCTATTTTGGTTGGCATGCTCAACAAGATGACTGTTAGATCTACTTGGTTTGGAGGGTTGTTAAAGACTGCTGTTTCCTTGTACTTCCATCTCACTGTTCTTTTATTCTTGAAAGTAGAGTTTAGAAGTCTTCAAATATTACTGTTGAATTGTCTATGAGTTGCTCGTTTCTTACTTTAGATTTCGTTAGTCTGGCTTCAAATAATTTGGGACTTCACTAGTATGTGTATATATATATGTATAGTAATTATTTCTTTAACTGATGCTTTTAACATTGACAAATGTCTCTACCATTCATTTTGTATTAAGGTCTGTTTTGCCTGATATCACCATAGCCACTTCAGCTTTCTTATGGTTATTGTTGTACAGTGTTTATTATTATTCCCTTTTATTATGAGTTTCTGTTTTGAATTTAATACTGAAAACATTTTATATGTTCAATGCAATCTTATCAAAATTCCAATGATATTCTTCACAAAGATAGAAAAGTCAATCCTAAACTTCATATAAAAGCACAAAAGACCTTGAATAATCAAAACAATTCTGAGCAATAAGAGCAATGTTGCAGGTATCACAACCTGACTTCAAACTATATTACGGAGTCACAGCCATAAAAAGAAATGGTACTGGCACCAAAACAAACGTGAAGACCAATGAAGTAGAATAGAAGACCTAGACAGAAACCTATGTGGCTACAACCATTTGATTTTTGACAAAGAAGCTCCAAATATTTGTTGGAGAAAAGATGGTTTGTGTTTGTTGAACCATCCTATCATCCCTGGAATAAAATGAACTTGGTCTGGCGTATGATCTTTTTAACGTGTTGTTGAATTCAGTTTTCAAGTGTTCTATCTATTGTGTCTCTGTTGAACAAGGAATTTTGGTTTGTAATTTTTTTGTTATTGTCTCATTATCTAGTTTTGGTAGTAGAGTAAGAGTTTCCTCATACAATCACTTTCCAAGCAAGTCTTCCCTTTGTTTTATGGAATAGGAAGAAGAGCACTAATATTAGTTTTCAACAATGATCTGGTAAAACTTAACAGTGGATCCACCTGGTCCTGGGATTTTGAGTACTTATTTGGACATGCTGGGGTGTTAAGCTTTAGCGACAGTGTTTATCTCATCAAATCAAATATATTTTTTCTGATTTCTGGCTTATTTAGGCAACAGGGATCTCAGTGCCATACTCATCTGCATATTACTGCTGTTGAATGAAGTAAAGGGACAGAGCCTGTGAATGAATGGACAAAAGTTGAGCAGTGTGCTTGGGGAAGACCAGAGGGAGTCATTTGTCCGTCACAAGGACATCCTGATTCCAGTTTATGAGAACTTTAGGCACGTGCTCAAGACGACACTTGAGGAAGGTAACCGGGAGGTGTCTGGCACTGTCACCTGTCCTGGTTGTGAAAGCAGCAGCATGCTCAAGTGACACATCACCAACTCTGCACAGGATAAAAGGACTCCTACCCTGAGCAGCACATCCACAACCTCTTCAGAAACAGCCTTCTCTTACCTCCTCTGCATCAGGTGAGTGCTCAGCCCAAGACAAAGCATTAACAAAGGGTGTTTGAGGAAGAAGAAATCTTGGATCTGAAATTGAACCTCAGGAAGAGGCCTTTAGTGGGTAGTTGTGAGGAAGGTCATTGTGGGGGAGGAAGGAGCCTCTGTGGCATAAGTGAACCCTACAAGGCACAGAACCTACAGTTTCTTCTCATTCTTCTGAGCTAGTTTTGGGGATGCACGTTGAAACATCTGACATCCTTGAGGATGCTTTATATAAATGCATGTGTCCCCTCTATGTTTCCATTTCTCTCCCTTAGATCTTGGAAAGCACTTGTTCTTTGAGGACAAGTGTTTTACAAGCTAAGTAAGGAGACATTGGCTTGAAACTTTAGTGCTGCAATAGTTCTCTTATTTTGTTCAAGGCCAAATTCTTGCCAAGATGTCCTGCCAGCAGAACCAGCAGCAGTGCCAGGCCCCTCCCAAGTGCCCCTCACCCAAGTGCCCTCCGAAAAGCCCCAAACAGTGTCGACCTGCAGCTTCCTCCTGCCATGCTACCAGTTCCAGCGGCTGCGGTGGCCCCAGCTCAGAGGGCGGCTGCTGCCTGGGCCACAGGCGCCGCAGGTCCCACCGATGCCGGCGTCGGAGCTCCAGCTCCTGTGACCGTGGCAGTGGTCAGCAGTCTGGGGGCTCTGGCTGTGGCCACAGCTCTGGGGGCTACTGCTGATCTGGATCCTGATGCTGAGTCAAGGGGCTTCAGTGGAAAGAAGAAGCCCAGGGACCAAAGAAAAGCCTTCTCCTGGTTCATCCTTTCTTCAACATCCTAATGTCTCTTTCTTGGAGTGAGATGCCAAAGTGTTCATAAAGGAGGGTTTGCACTCACTGCACAAGTCTCTGCTTAAGTACTTTCTAAAAGCCTGAAGTTTCCTTTTCCTCCTGACAATGATACCACCTGTATATGTGTAGAGAAATAAACATTTTTTTCAACCCTACCTGTATCTTACATTTCCCTTATCTCTACTTCCATGGCTGCTCATTGTGTTCCCCTTTACCCAGCTTGCCCAGAACCAGAAATGTCTCTAGCTTGGTGATGAAGAATTAAGGTCACCAATTGTTCTTCATGCAGATGAGCCCTTGGAACTCTGAGTAGTGAAAGATGGCAGGAAGGGGGAGGTGTTGAGAGGTTGCTGAAAATATTCTTGGAAAAGGCTGACTTTTTCCTGGAACGTGGCTGGAGTGGGAAGTATGATCTGACATTGGAATCCCCAGCCTCTGTTGAGGGTAGTGGAGGGTATCACAAAAGTGAGTTTAGTGAAATTCAAGAGGATAGATGGTGTAGAGGTGGGAAGAAAGCTGTCAGGAAGAAGATGGAATGTAATTGCGAATAATAGACTCTAAAGAGTGAGGTGATCTGCAAAGTTAGTCCATTCTGAACTGATTGAAACTGAGGGTTGTTACTGAAAGAGTGACAATGAGGGGTTGTAGGCCCTAAGAAAACTGAGAACAGAGGATGTAAGGTAAATGTTTCATGGGGCTACTGTTAGCATAGCTGTAAATTCCTTTTTTATTTTTTAAAATTTTATTATCATATTATTGTTATACTGGGGGTATATTCTGACATTTACAAAAGTGCTTACAATATATCTGAGTTAAATTTACCTGGTCCATCATTCTTCGTGATTCTCCCTCATCCATTCTTAGAATAGTTTCAACGGGTCTCATTTTTCCATTTTCATACATGAGTACATAATATTTCTCCATATTCATCCTCCCACATCTGTTCCTTATATCCTCTCCCTCCCACTTGTGCCAACCCCCAGACAAGAACTTTTTTTGTCCTTCCTGTCCTGTTTTTGAATAAAAAAGGAATCTTTATTTGTTGAAGATATCTATGCAGGGAGTTTCATTATGACATTTCCATTTATATATGTATTATACCTAGAATTGTTTCATTACCTACATTTTTCTTCTTTCTGTCTTAGTACCCTTCTTATGGTGATTGGAACAGATTTAAATATTCTATGTTTGTTCTTGTATTGAAAGTACATCAACCATATTCACCTTCTTTACCTCCTTCTTTTATCTTCCCACCTCTTGTTAGTGCCCTCCCCTTAGTGTGACATGGTTTTCCTTCATTATTTGTCTGTTCATTGTTCAGTTGGATTTTTGCTTTGCTCTTATACCTGTACATGTATTTTGTTTACGTTAATTCTTTTCAAGAGACTAAGAGACAAAGTTGTGTACAGTTACCCAAGGGTCTTATTTAGGGATCTCCTTTCCAACTTTGGAATAGAGCAATGTTTATCTCTACTCAAACTGCAAATAGTCCTTCTGCATATGAACCACTAGGATTGTTTCAGGCAGCTTAATTTTTGACATATTGTTGCAGAAGAACAAAAGTCTGCTAAAGCCAAGAAATGACTGTTTTTGAAATAACTTCAGAAGGTGAAAGGACTTTGGCTTACAGTCAGAGATGAAAATTGTTTTTTAAAGGAACTAGTATTTTAGCAAGAAAATTCTAGACAGAGAACAAAAATCTGCATAACACTTTGGGAATCCAACCAAATACAGTAAGCATTTTGCTATTTGATTTTCTTTAAAAATGAAATCTAGACATTTGCTTTGCTCCAATATTCTTGAGCATATAATTTCTTATGAAACTGGAAGAAAATATGTCAAATAGAAGCCCAATTAATAATTGATGCCAAATCTGCTCTGCCAGTTAAATTCAATGTCTGCGATGGGGTTCTTTGAGGAAGTGGCCACTGATAAGGTACTTTACCTTTGAGCAGGTTCTGGGATCATGTGATATACTACTTCTTTTGGGACATTTGAGACTTTCGTGGAAAATACATTTTAAGAGTCAGAATTAAAATGCATAACAAAAAAAGAAAATGAATGGTAAAGCTTCTTTTGAGAATATGCAGCTTTGCATTCAGCTATGTTGAACACTTAAAGCCACAAACACTGTTGAACTGTGCTGGTTTACCTAAACTCACAGGAACCGTGTGTATGTCTGGGTAGGTAGAGCCTGAGGCTAATCATCATATTTAGTGCACATCAGCAGCTGAGGAGCTGGGTAGTTAGACCGATTGGGTTCAATTTCAGTTCTGTCAACTTAATAGTGAACAAAAGGCCTAACTTTCTGAGCCTCAGTCTCCTCACCCAAAATTTGAGGATCAGAACAATTTACCTGGCTACTGTTTGTGCTAATATATGAGAAATATGCAGAATATTATTTAAATGTTAGCTTTTATTTGTCTTTTAATATGAAAACTGAAGAAAAAAGCTTGGAGTTCAGAAGCATTTAAGTTGAATTTGAGCTCCTAAGCACAAAACACCATCTGGCTTCTTGCTACTGATAAATCTAATTGGGATGAGGAAAAAAAAGACTCATGGTCAATGAATAAAGTTCAGACCCAAGACATCAAGACAATTAGTAAGACAGTCACATCGTAATCACATATGGCCCTGCCATTAAAAATGTTTCCTGACAGAATGAGTTCCTGATGGATGGAGGAAAATTTGGCTCTCTAGACTTGGCTAGGGTGCAGTGAGCCAGCCTTAGAGTCATGAGTTCATTTTTGTAGTTATATAGTACAGAAATACTGGTTGAGTATTGTGTATCCTATGTGCTAGGTGCCAGGCACTCGAGACACCATGGGAGCAAAGTTCTTACTTACTTGGAGTAAACGTCCATCTGAGTGGGCAATTTCCAGGTTGATAGCTAGATTTTCTTGTTCTAAATTCATCTAGTCTCACATATCTTGTGTATGGTGGGCAGCAATGTGTTTGTGAATAAACTAAGCCCTGGGAAAAATTACATGACACAAAAATGATTTACTTTGTGGGGGATAGAAAGCTACTTAGTGACTACTGGCTCCTGAACAGAGCCAATAATTTCTGAGGGAAGAAGATAAGTTGTTAATGAGGGAAAATTAGTGGGCGTCCTTGTTACTATTGTTGCATAATAAATCACCCTAAAACTTCATAGTGTGAAACACAACTACTTTACTTTTCTCACAATTTTGTGCATGGGGAATTCAGGAAGAGCTCAGATGAGCAATACTTTTCTCATGGACTTGCAGTCAGATTTCAACTTGAGTTGTAGTCATCCAAAGACTTGGCTGAGTTGGACATTTAAGAAAGTTTGTTAGGATAATGGGCACTTGGTGTTAAACATCAGCTGGGACCTCTTTGGGGGTGTCAACTGGAGGACCTACACCTGGGCTCTGTAGCATGATAACACCTGACTTTCTCTAGAGGGTGCATTCCAAGAGAACTATGTGAAATCTTCATGACCTTTTGTGATTCAGCCTTGAAAGTCACAAAGCATCATTTCTACCATATTCTATTGGTTAGAGTAGTTGCAAGTCTGCCTGAAATCAGGGGGGAGAGGATGTAGATCACACATCAAAGAATTTTGAGACATGTTTAAAATCATTAAAATGTGAGAGTATTCACTACCATCCTCATCATCTCTTTAGTTTTCCTCTGCCTACTGCTGAAGCCTCATGTAAATTCATGTTCCCACAGAGTTTTATTTTTTTCAGTACTGGGGTTTGAACTCAAGACCTAATGCTTTCTAGGCAGATGCTATACAAGCTTCCCACAGTGTTTTGAAAAGACTCAAAATTTGCAACATATTCAAGTTTTAATGAGGGTGGCTGTTCTGATAGCCTTTATGTCACTAGATGTCTGGAATCATTATTGCAATAATAACATCTTGTCAAAAGACATCAGTTATTTATATTTCTAATATTAAATTGTTTTTATTATATAAAATTAAAATGAAATGTAACAGGACAAATTTTATATAGCTGACTTATATCTAAGAAATACAGATGTAACAAAATCAATCACCACTCTTATAAATCATGTCATTTTTATCACTTCCATCAATTATCTTTCAAATATAAACTCTCTCTTCTCTTAAAGTGCTCTGGCAAACATAACAAACATTTCTGACTCAATAGCACAGTCAATAAACAATGAAGCAATATTTCTAGGCTTGTGAGCCTGACACTTCTTAGGATGTAGACTGCTTATCTCTGACTGTACTTCTAATTGTAACACTTCTGGCTCATTTTGCCTTGATTTTTTTAGCTTAGTTTTTGCTTGGACACTTCTAGCTTCACCTTGGTATTTAAACAGTAGGAATGCCTGACCCCAAAGCATAGGTTCTTAGCCAGCACACCATTGTCATTATCTGAGCTGGCTGCCCTTGCAGATCCAGCTCTCCTCAGATGACAACTTTTTTCCTCTCTGCCAGGAAACCTGCTCAGGGACTCCTTGCAGTTGGGTCACATGAGTTCTATCTACTTAGTCACCTTAACTGGAACGCCATTGGAGAATTGGATCCTGCTTTACCCAAAAGCCATTTTGGAGGTATGCCTCACCTACCACACTCAAGTGATACCAGATGCAATGTCTGGACACCTCACTCCTGTCTGAGCAATAGGGAATTGATGCCCAAAGGCTAAGTCCCATGGATTTCTCACACATTTATATAATAACAGCTATTATTCTAGCTCACAATAATAGGATTATTTCTTAATGTGCCTACTACACTATCAAGGATGGGAAATACATTTCACATATTTCTGACTCCCCTGTGTCAACTCATCTCTGAAATATGTACTCAACTGATGTTGCCTGAATGAATAAATGAAGGAAAGATTATGGACAGCCAGTCATAAAAACCCTTGAGGGTCAAGGCTAGATTTT